TTGGACAGAGATGCAGGGGTAGTGCAGAGCAGGGAGGGGGGAAGAGAAGGAGGCAGATAGGCCATGCTTGCAGGCAGCCTGGGCTGGCCCCTGGGCAGGTGCCTTTCTCCATGGCCTGAGAGCAGCAGCTGGAAGCCCTGAGTCCATTTGAGAGCCTTGGCCCAGAGACAAATCCTCAATGCCTGAGATGAGTTCCAAGGAGTGGGTGGTTGGTGTCAGGGGTGGTGCTGAGGGCCCTTAGCAGATGGAGCCATAGCCCCTCCTGCCAGAGCTGGCCAGGCCTGCCAGGCCGTAGCCAAGGCCAAAGCCAAATCCACCAGAGATGGGCTGTCCCTGGGCACTGAGCTCAGTGCCCAGAGCAGCGGAGGAGGTGGATCCGACGGCGGTGCTCTGGGGGAAGGAGGTCATGATGGGTCCTGGCAGGGTGACCAGCACAGGGGCAGGGTTGATGATGACCCGGGAGTCCTGGCATTGCAGGGCACAGGGCTCGTTGCAGCTGTTGGCCAGTGGGGTGGGTCCGCAGGGTCGGCAGATGTTGTTGCAGGCCATGGGTGTGGTGTGGAGGGTGCCTGGAAGAGAGAGGGGTGAGGCAGGGCAGGGGAATTGAGGTTTCAGGGGCAGTGATGCAGGATAGTGAGGGAGTGAGAGATTTTGGAGGCTGTTGTGGGGCTGTGGGGAGGTGTGTGTGCTCCGGAGGCTGGGGCTGATTGTGCTGAAAGAGAGGGTTCAGGAGTGCAGGATCAGGAAGGTCAGGGGCTTGAGGCTTACCTGGTTGTCTTCAGGAGCAGGAGATGGCTTCAGGAGAAGTGTGTGATGGAGAGAAGGTCTGGGCTGGCTTTTGTGCAGGTCCTGGATGGGCTGGACAGCCTTATTCCATGGCCTTGGGGCATTTTTGAGGCAGTAGCTCATGCCTCACCACACCTGGCATGATGTCATGAGGTGGGGAGTGTTTTCTTTTGTGATGTTCTGCTATTCCATGTCCTACTCTTTAGTCGGTATCCATCTCATCTTGGCGGCAGTTTTCATGGGTTGGTGTTTGGCAGGATTTCACTGTCAGATGTGTGTCAGGGAGGACTGAATAAACAAGCAGTGCCCTGGAGATTTGCAATGTCATCAATGATGTCCCTTTGTGACCCTTGGCTGCTGTGGTTTGTGGGTGCCTTGTGAAGACTGGGACTCTGTTTTGTGCTGCTGCATGTGCTTCAGTCATTGTGTTGCACCCAAGAATGCTGAGGAAGCTGCTGATGTCCTGGGGAAGTCACTCTGGAACAGCTTGGCAAGACCCCAGTGCCTGGGAGCTGTTCTTGATGGATGACAGAGAGCTCTTGGTCTTGTGTCTTGAATAGGCTCACAGGATCTGGTAAAAGAGAGGCTGTTAAAGATGAACCTGTTCCATTTTTATGGTCCACTTGGACTCCTCAAATTTTAATTTGAACACACTGCTCCATGTCAAGTGTATTCCTTGACCTCATTCAGAAATGCATTAACAAACAACAAATGGGCCTGATCCCTTTGTTCCCAGGCTGCTCTGTGGCATCAATTCCCTTATTCTGCATTCAGACCACCAGGTTTCATAATGATTTATATCCTGTAAATCACAATATTGTGTTCCTGTGAGAGAAACCCAGTAATTGTTACCTGATGGTCAGCGTGCTCTACTTTCCCTCTCTGTCATGATGTGGGTGCGCCTTTATGGAATTCCACAATTCCATGTCCTTCTCTTGAGGCCCTGTCCTTCCGACCTTAAGGGCAGCTTTAAGTGTGAGTTATTGGTATGTGCGTGTTGCTGGCATTTGGGAGGGTTTGCTCTCCAGGTGAGTGTCAGGGAGGGCTGAATAAACAACCAAAATTTTGGGGAGGTGTGGTTGTCATTGGCAAGGTCACTCTGTAGCTCGGTTGTACTGTGGTTTGTGGGTGTGTTGTGAAGAGGAGCCCCATTCCCTCCCAGCCCTCTCAGGCTGCTCTGGGATTTGCAGCTCTGCTGGAGGTGTTGCCCATTCTGCCAGATGTAATCCCTCCCCTAACTGATCCCACCTGGCTAAGCCTGAGTCTAGACCTCACCTTTGCTGTTGACTGTGCTCTGTGGGTGTCTTGGTGCCCCTCTTGCCTTTAAGGTTTTGGTATCCAGGGCTGTTGGGGTCTTTGCTGGGGCTGAGTGCAAAGGGGTGAGGTCACTTGTGATTGTCAGAAAGAAGATTTGGATGTTGCTCAGGGTTGTTGGAAGATGGCATTGCCTGATTCTCAACAACCAGGGAAGTCTGGGTTGTATCCCTGCCCAGAGAATGATTCTGAAGGACTAGACACCGAGGGCTGTCCCAAATCCAGAGGGCTGCAAGTCCACAGGGCTGTGGTCCAGGAATTGGATCCTTTTGGCCAACACTGAAAACCTGAGTGGTCCTGGACGTCAGCTGGAGCTCAACAAGGACATCTGCCAGGGGCTGTTTCTTGGCAAGAATGAGGATGTCATCCCTGGTAGGAAGGAATGTGTGGGTATCAGTTGGATCAGGTGTTTTCCAAAGAGTGAAAAGAGTTGGAATTCCATGGGCAAAGAAGACAAGAGTCTTTCATTATGAGGATGATCAGAGATTGGTAGAGGTGGTGGAGTCTCAATCCTTGGAGATCCAAATCTGACCTGTCCATGGTGCTGGAAATGTTCTCCTGTTGGTCTTGCTTGAGCAGGGCAGTTGAAACCCTTGTGCTCCAGAGCTCCAGCCCAAGAGGTGGATGTTGTTTCTCTCTTTGCTGGAAGGCATCAAGAGTCCTGGCCAGGAAGAGACTTTGTCAAGTGTGCATGGTCATGGAGTGACTTTTCCATTTTTGTGCCAAGGAGAGAATTGATGTGTCAAAGACTTTGGTGGAGCAGTTTGCAAGGTCTGTGACATGTTCTGGAAGGTTTCCCCTCCTGTGTTTCCTGTGCCATGCTAGGTTTTTTGTTGTTTTGTATTTGTAAGAAAAAGTGTTGCTGCCCTGTTCCATGTATCCTCAAGGGTCTGTTGAGCTCTAGAATGTGGTGGGTGAGGATGTGAGACCATTGGAAAAAAAAAGAAATGAGGCATTCGAGGTTTGATGCAGCAAAACTTTATTGGTGCAAAAGATTGAAAAGCCAAGGTAAAGAAGAGGAAATAATCTGTTGTGAGGTGTGAGTAGGGCTGCCATCACCTGAAGTGCTTTGCTTGCAGGAGTTGTTGCCAGAACCCAGAGATGGAGTTGACGAGAGTGGGGCTGAGGGCCCTTAGCAGATGGAGCCATAGCCCCTTCTGACAGAGAAGCCCAGGCCTGCCAGGCCATAGCCAAGGCCAAAGGGGTGAAGTGTCAGCAGGGTGAGGGAATGTGGAGGCTGTTGTGGGGCTGTGTGGAGGTGTGAGGGCTGCTGAGGCTGGGGCTGAGCGTGCTGGCAGAGTGGGTTCAGGGGTGCATGAACAGGAGGGTCAGGGTCTTGAGGCTTACCTGGTTGTCTTCGGGAGCAGGAGGAGAAGGCGTGAGGAGAAGTGTGTGAGGGAGAGAGGCTCTGGGCTGGCTTTTATGCTGGTCCTGGATGGGCGGGACAGCCTTGTCCAATGGCCTTGATGCATTTTTTAGGCAGCAGTTCTTGCCTGGCCCAGCCTTGCATGAGATCATGAGGTGGGGCATGGTTTCATTCATGTTTTTCTGCAATTCCATGTCACGCTCTTGAGAATGTGTCCAACTGACCTTGGCATCAACTTTCATGACTTGGTGTTTGGGCCAATATGATTGTTTCATGTGTGTCAGGGAGGGCTGAATAAACAACCATCACCCAGAAGATTTGCAATGTCATCGGTGATGTCATTTTGTGGCTCTCTTGTGCTGTGGTTTGTGGGTGCCTTTGAGGTCTGGGACTCTGTTCTGTGCCTCTGGATGTCCCTCAGTCATTGTGTCACCCAGGAATGCTGAGGAAGCTGCTGGTGTCCTGAGGAGGTGACTCTGCAGTAACTTTTAAAGGTCTCAGTGCTTGGAGGAAAGCGATCTCATGCCTTTGTGTTTTGAATGGGATCAAGAGAGAGGATCTGGTAAATGAGAGTCTGTTCAGGCTGAACTTGTTCCAGTGTTCTGGTTTGTTTGGATTTATCAAATTTGTACAACACCATACACTGTTTTATAAAGAGCATTTCTGCACCTCATTCAGAAATGTAATATCAAAGAACAATCCTGGTCCAATCAGTTTCTCACTGTGGCTGGCCTGTGATGTCAGTTTCTGATTCTGCATTCAAGCCATCATGTTTCACAACTTTTGTCATGCAATCTTAATTTGGTATTTCTGTTAGCAAAAGCCAGTAATTACTAGAGGAGGGTCAGCAAGGTCCTCTTCTCTCCTCTGTCATGGTGGCCACCCTTAGTTTTGGAATTTTGTAATTACATTTCCTTCTCTTCAGACCCTGTCTATCTGACCTTGGAGGAACAATTAAATGGAAATATTAGATGTTAAGATGGTGTTGATGATGTGAGCCAGGGAGTGCTGAAATAATGACCAATGCTTTGGAGAGGTGGAATACCATCAGTGAAGTCACCACATGGCATTGTGTGCTGTGTTTTTTTGTTGTGTTTTGAGGAGGGTCCCAGACCTTCTAACACCTCCACACTGTCAGGCTGATCTTGGGTTTGCAGGAGCACTGCTTTTGCAGGGCTGCTCCCTCCATCCCATTGTCTCCCTCCTCACTAGGTTGCCATCTCTCCCTGCCTTTCTATACATCTGGCATTTCCTGATGCATATGGGAAAGCAATCCCTGGGATATAGGGAGGCTTCCCATCCTGCTCAAACTGTCATGTTGGTTCATCTGTAAAGCTCCTCTAACCTGGGCCCAGCAAGGTCACACTATGGGCTCGCAGTGCTGGGCTCTGGACTCTTCTTCCTGTAAAGGAAATGTGAAGGATAAGAAGAACAAGACACATGAGGAGAACTATTCCTCATCCATTTATTAATCCATCCTTTTGGCCATGGACCCTTTGCTGTGAAAAACTCCAGCAGTTACCAGGACAGGATGAGGAAAAGAAACAGAAGCAGGTTGAGGGCAGTGTCCATCCTTGCACCCACCACTGCTGGGACTCCACAGTGGATCAAGGATGTGGACATGGCTGACCAAGAGCAGTGCCAGGAGATCATGACGATGATGGAAATGGAGCATCCTTAAAAGGAGAAGCTGAGAGAGATGGGAGTTCTTTCAGGCAGGACATAAGGATGCGCATGGGACATATTGTCAATATGCCATGGAATGATTTCAGTGACGACTTCCCAGTTCTCCAAAGCTTTGGTTGAATCCTCTGCGTGTCCTGACACATGCTAAAACGAACGAGGTAATGGTCACTAATTCTCTCCATTAAGAGGTGCTGCCAAGGTCAAATGGAAACAGCCTCAAGTGGAGGACATGGAGTTGAAGAGTTACAGGAAAGAAACCACTCCCCATCTCATGACTCACTAGGCTGGGCCAGCCATGAGCTGCTGCCTCAAAAATGCCCCAAGGCCTTGGGACAAGGCTGTCCCACCCATCCACAACCAGCATAAAAGCCAGCCCAGAGCCTCTCTCCCTCACACA